AACCAACACTTCTTCACGCTTTCATTGTTATTGGTGCAGTTGTTCTTGGTGTCGAGACAATTAACCCACCGCTTTCCCCTCAAGCTGAGTGCGAGGTTAGCCCCTCTTCTTACCCAGTCTTTGGGCCTTGCATAAAATTATCAGCTGTAGAAATTAAAGCAAAATGCTACAAGTTTTTGTTGGTTAATTTGCATTTGGCTTTGTATCAGTCGTTTTAATTACAAAATGCTACAACAGCAGGCTCGTTTCGATGTTTCAGTCGGCTTGTTTAATTACCTTTGATTGCGGGTGGTATTATGGGAAATGTGAGAACTAATTGATAAACTGCAATCATACTAGAAACTTTTCTTAGACTTATACTTGTTTTAATGATTAGAATTTATTTAGAACTAATATGATATATGTACATTTTTCATTAAAAAAACAAATGTTTGGTCTATAGAGGCAGCTTAAAGAGGCCTACCAATTTCATAAACTTCATAAAGTTACTTGAAAGGCAGGAGTCTTTAAAACGCCGGCGGCCGCAGGACCCTTAAGGCAGAACTCGTTTCCAATTCCAGGAGCGACCATGTTACATGCCATTTTTCCCCATTTTATAAGACTGGTCCCGTAGCCCAACCGAAATTGAGTTGAAAATGTTTTCTTACAACTAAATCAAATGTTTTGATAAATTGCTCGGCACACGCAAACATTTCGTTTCGACAAAATGGCCGAGAGAGCTGACGTTTCGATATAGTTGATACCTATCTGGCCATTAAAACGAGGCCAAGACATTGTAAAAAAAAAACAATTGCGTGCTTTTTAATGCGATATTCGCATTTTGCAGAAATTTTTATGGTCTGATGTGTTGATCTTTCGGTTTTCTCTAATCTATATAAATATTTACATTTTGTGTGGCAGCAGTTGTCAACACAATTGAGCAATTAAATGGGGGATCTACGCCAAGATCTTCCCATGACTTATCTGGAAAGGGGTTCTTCTCATGACTCCTCTTGCACAGCAATTTTCATTTCAATTTCTGCGCACGCGCAACATTTCAACCTCCGAATCACGTTCCCCAGGTTTTCATTTTTCCTACTTTTTTTTCTGCTAGGTTTTCCCCCTTTGGTTCCATGACTTCCACAATTTATCTGTGATTCCATGTGATTCCATCTCTTGCCTGTGCAGTTTTCCTGTCATGAGCTAGTCGCTGGGATATTTTAGGGTTGTCATCGTCTTGCTGTATTTATGATTATTGTTATTACTATTTCATCTTCTCTTACTCCTTTGGCTGTGTCGTGAGCTTTGAACTCGCCAGCAACATCAATCCATAAGAAATTATTGAGTTCGAGGTTAAGGTTACTCGGCGCAGGTAAATTGCTGGTCAATGGGTGATTTAAGCAAAGAAATACTTTTGAGTGTTTCAGGTTTTCATTGAACTTTTCAACATTTGTCTTAAAAACTTATCACTTTATAAGGCAGTATTTCTACGTATTTCTAGCGCTATTAGATTAATTTAAAGTTTACTCACCTAGCATTTTTCATATCCATCTGCAGTTGCTTTTCTAATGGGTTAAGGGCCTACAACCGGCCTGGATTGTTCTGTTTTCTCCTCGCGGCGCTTTCTATTTTTATGTGGCGCGTGTGTGGAATCAATGAAATGGAAGATAATTGCACACACCCAGCATTTCCATTATTATTAACATTAACATGAGCAACAAGGATAAGTGGGCGGGGCAAGATGGGAGGCAGGTGTGCGGCTGTGGCAAGCAACACGTGTGAAAATCAAATTCCATGGCATCACCTACGCAAATTACAAAATGAACACACGCAGCAAAAAGGGTTAAAGGGGGGCGGCAGGGGGTCAAAGGACTGGCCAAGGGGGCTTAAGGGGGCCAAGCGCATGCCTGAGCATCAATGGGTTAAGCGCGTTAATCATTTTAAGCATTGGCCGGTCTCAGCCTCTTTCAGTGTTGACAACCAATAATTTCACCAAGTAGCTAAGTTGGGGTTTTAAGCGAGAACAGTTATAAAATAAAAATCCTATTTTTGTATTTAACGATTTACTTAAAAACCTATTTTTTATTACAATATTAGGTGTTTTAATTATTGCAGTTAAAAAATACTATTTTTAAAATGAAGGCTTAACTTTAAAAAGAAAAGTTAAATATAAATATAAAATATATGTAAATCTACGAAGAACACTTATCTTTTGAGTAATTTGAACCCTTTAGCTTTAAAATAGCTAACTTGGTACCACTCCCCCTACACTTCCTGTCTCTGTATGATTTTCCCTTGCCGTCGTTCTCCCTTCTCCCATCCATTCATCGATGATTATTGCGTTAATTATTATCCTGCATCCTGGTTTTCAGAAGTTCCATGGGGCTATTTCGAAAGCATACTTGTGCGTAAACTTCAAAAGGAATCTCTGCTATTTTCGTATGAGGTGCCTGCTGCCCGGCTTAACCCCTTGTTGCCCCCTTTGCGAGGTCTTTGTCCTGTTGACTGCCTTGGGCTGCGTTTGTCCAGCTGCTGCCTACTTGGCACTCCCACTTTTCCTCGCTTTTCCTCGGCCTGTCAGCGGCAACTGACCTAATAATCATTTTCAAAGCGGAAAATTGTTGCTGCTGTGTTGGCCGAACTTATTTCATTCACACTTTTTTGAAGGGTTAAGGGGTACGAACTGGTGTTAAACGCTTGGGGAAAGCATTTTCCTTTTTTAGCCGCTTGTCCCTGGGCGCAAGAGCCTCTAGCGTAGATTTTCTGGGAATGGATTTATCAGTTTCAGCCTAATTTGGGCAGCTTTGATCATTCTTTTTGGGAATAGGAATGGATTAAGCAAGTTTAAATGGGAATTTGATATCTGCAAATGTGCTTTGATAAATTTATTTTTAAAAATTACTATACGCATTCTTCACCTTTAGAAATTTGAAATAAATTTAATTTTTATAATAACCCACATATGCCTATAATTTCATTTCCATTCGAAGTTACTCGAAATCACTATCATTTAAAAACTTTAACTCTAACTTAATTCGGTTGCTAGCATGACTGGCGTATTAAATTGTTTCAGAAGTTGTAGGAAATTTTAATGAGTGTAAATGATTGAGTAAATCAAGTTTGGAAAGTGTAAGATGCATCTTTTTTAGGAAACAATCCAAAAGATACAAATTAAAAATGTTTGTGGTTTTTTAAATATATTAAATATCAAATTTATACCATTAACGACTTAACCCTTTTTAGCATGTCAATGGGATTTTCATTCAGTACCCCTTTTTTTTTAATTTTTTTTTGATTTGATTATTGATTTGCCTTGGCAATCGTCGCAGATTTGAGGGATTAGTTTTAGCCGGTGAATTGGCCGATTATGATTTCACCCAGACGCTTTGATGCGGAAATCCAAAAAGAGACTCAAGAGTATATTTTACCCAAACTATTTATTAAATGTTTAAGGTTTTTTTAAAAACATAGCATAGCTGTTTACAAGCTAGTTTTTTAATTGCACTTGCATTTTTATTTTGTATGCGCAAATGCATTTTATTTATTCTATGGGTCAATATAGTAGATTCCTGTGGGTTGGCTATTATATAAAGCTAAAAAAAATATGTAAATTAATATAAACCGACTGTCTCACGAAAAAAAAACTTACCAATACATATTAAGAAGATTGTTGACAAATTCATGATGAAACTCTGATATTGAGACTTCCTTTGCGAATGAATTGTGCTTTCAAAAAGTTGGGGTTTTATATTTAAATAAAACTGGAACGTTTCGCATTTACTTGGAAACCGTTTCAAATTTCCAACAAGTTCAGTATAACTCGATTTCACGCCGATACAAATTCCTATCCAATTTCACAGTGCACCTGAATTGAATTGCCTAATTGCAAAAGTTTGTAATTTCATGTATTTGAAGTAAGGTTTTCTAAAAAAAAAAGAATTATTTTTTTCTCAAAACCACTAATGAATTTCCACGACCACCTTTCCTTGGGTGGGATACATAAAGCTTTAACCGAACATAATAAATGTTACTCTTCAAGAACTTAGCAAAGCCTATTAACAAGATACTACAAATATTTATAATGATATTCATCTTTTCATCTTTAAGTAAATCAAATCCCTAGCCATTCTAATGGATTCCAAAGCCCAGCCAAGAACATGGATTGTACATTTCAGTCGACCCAATCACCAAACCCACAACGAATACCATCTAATTGCCATAATCCATTTATAAGGTAGCATAGTCACACAATGCACAACACCAAGCGGGAAAGCTGAGGGGAAAAGCGAATGAAAAAAAGAAAAACAAACAATATAAGCCAGACAACAGCCAAAGTAAATTTATCAGTTTCAGCCTAATTTGGGCAGATTTCATCATTCTTTTTGGGAATAGGAATGGATTAAGCAAGTTTAAATGGGAATTTGATATCTGCAAATGTGCTTTGATAAATTTATTTTTAAAAATTCTATACGCATTCTTCACCTTTAGAAATTTGAAATAAATTTAATTTTTATAATAACCCACATATGCCTATAATTTCATTTCCATTCGAAGTTACTCGAAATCACTATCATTTTAAAACTTTAACTCTAACTTCATTCGGTTGCTAGCATGACTGGCGTATTAAATTGTCTCAGAAGTTGTAGGAAATTTTAATGAGTGTAAATGATTGAGTAAATCATTGGATTGATGATAAATTGTTTTCCATTTTATAATGTCAAGTTTGGAAAGTGTAAGATGCATCTTTTTTAGGAAACAATCCAAAAGATACAAATTAAAAATGTTTGTGGTTTTTTAAATATATTAAATATCAAATTTATACCATTAACGACTTAACCCTTTTTAGCATGTCAATGGGATTTTCATTCAGTACCCCTTTTTTTAAATTTTTTTTGGTCTTAGGACTTTGATTTGCCTTGGCAATCGTCGCAGATTTGAGGGATTAGTTTTAGCCGGTGAATTGGCCGATTATGATTTCACCCAGACGCTTTGATGCGGAAATCCAAAAAGAGACTCAAGAGTATATTTTACCCAAACTATTTATTAAATGTTTAAGGTTTTTTTAAAAACATAGCATAGCTGTTTACAAGCTAGTTTTTTAATTGCACTTGCATTTTTATTTTGTATGCGCAAATGCATTTTATTTATTCTTTGGGTCAATATAGGTTCCTCTGGGTGGGCTATTATATAAAGCTAAAAAAAATATGTAAATTAATATAAACCGACTGTCTCACGAAAAAAAAACTTACCAATACATATTAAGAAGATTGTTGAAAAATTCATGATGAAACTCTGATATTGAGACTTCCTTTGCGAATGAATTGTGCTTTCAAAAAGTTGGGGTTTTATATTTAAATAAAACTGGAACGTTTCGCATTTACTTGGAAACCGTTTTAAATTTCCAACAAGTTCAGTATAACTCGATTTCACGCCGATACAAATTCCTATCCAATTTCACAGTGCACCTGAATTGAATTGCCTAATTGCATAAGTTTGTAATTTCATGTATTTGAAAGAAGAAAAAAAGAATTATTTTTTTTCAAAACCACCAATGAATTTCCACAACCTTTCCTTGGGTGGGATACATAAAGCTTTAAACGAACATAATAAATGTTACTCTTCAAGAACTTAGCAAAGCCTATTAACAAGATACTACAAATATTTATAATGATATTCATCTTTTCATCTTTAAGTAAATCAAATCCCTAGCCATTCTAATGGATTCCAAAGCCCAGCCAAGAACATGGATTGTACATTTCAGTCGACCCAATCACCAAACCCACAACGAATACCATCTAATTGCCATAATCCATTTATAAGGTAGAATAGTCACACAATGCACAACACCAAGCGGGAAAGCTGAGGGGAAAAGCGAATGAAAAGTTAGCGAATTCGAAGTTACTCGAAATCACTATCATTTTAAAACTTTAACTCTAATAGACTCGCCTGAGGCCATTTCTCACGGGTCAATCAGTTAATTCTCCAAACAGATCCAGAAGCGGATGCAACTCGAACTTCATTAAACGACTTTCCAGCGCCTCTCACCTTTTGGACTCCCATCAATCAAAAATTTGAATCGAATGCAGTCCAAAATGTGATTGCTATTCGAAGACGACTAATGATGAAGATATTCAGCTGCAACATGGCAAAAACAGAAAACGAAAGACCGATCGAAGATCAAGAAATTCAGGGGAGAATTTAATAATTAAGGTGAAGCGTTCGCTATACTCTGGCACATCGAAGTGCCAATTAGGCATTTTGTACATTTTCCTGGTCAAAGGCGACAATTACCAAAGCCAGAGTATTGACCACAAAACATTTGGCTTACCATCCGCATTCGACATTGCATTTGTCGCTTTATTTGTCTGTCTCACCGGCGACTAATCGAAATTAAATGACGTGTGAATGTTGGCAGCTGTTTTCTGTTGGCTCACCTCCCGACTTTTCGATGTTATTATTATTGCATAGCTTTCGATTGCTGTCAGTCAGCAGCTCCCAGTTTGGCCTCAGTTCCCCCAATTGCCACCGGCTTCGTTTCGATTGGTATTTTTTTATACACTCTAAAGTGGGGAACATGAGTGTATTGATATTTGTTGAGTTGTTATTTAAGTTCAAGTGTTTAAACTTGTTGGGTCGGGTCATGGGCTTATTAAATTAATAGATTTCACAAGCCGTTTATTATTTTGATTCATAGCTGTGTTGTTGGAGGTATCAGCGCAAGTCTATTCCCATGAAAGAGCATTTATACGTCGACTTTGAAACATAATCCTTAACAATCTGCTCCTGTACTCGCTCTGTTGATTGTCGTCTGTCGTTTTTTGTGGTTTTTATCAATTTAGTTGTTATGTTGTTGGGCTATTTAAGGTGACCAAAGCCAGAGCAGAAGGACCCATAAATTATGACGACTGTCAGTGGATGATTGCAATTGCGTTTGCGATTACGATAAGGTTGTCGATTACCAACTGGCGTTAAAATGTTGTGGCAGCTTTCATAAATTTTCGTATAGACTTTCACGCCTGATACTTGTGCTGCTCATTCCCATGTTCAGATATTTAATTAATGTTTGAATAAACCCACAGAGGTGGCTTCTTCGCATTTCGCCTCGAGTGATTTGTGGATCAAAAATAAACTGTGAGAAAATTCGAAAAACATCAGACGATCTGCGGAGTGGTTGTGCCACTTATGTTTGATTAAAATTTGTTTAATTTATGATGGCTGACCAAAGTTGATCTTGTCCGTAAATTGTACAATTTTATGCTTGATTTGTCATGGCCGAGTGGGGATTTGGTTTGGTCTAAATGAGGCTGATATATGGATTTCTCCATCAATTTTGGGATCAATTCGTTTTCTTTTCTTTAAAGCCAATCTTCCCTGCAACTGTCATCAAATTGCACTCAGCTTGTCATTATTTACAGCTTTGTGCTAATAGTTGCTTTCGTTCAGCAGATGCTTTTTTCTCCATCCCACCGAGTTGGCTAATTTACATATAAATTAAAACTAGAAAAAGTGAGAGAAGTACACACACATGGAGGTTTTCAGCTGGCAGTTTGTTAACCTCAGCTCGTCTCGTTCTTGATTTCGGTATTAGTTGTCTGGGTTTCTCAGGCTTTTCAAGTCGCCCGAACCAAAATTCCATACGGAATTTCATAAATGCCTGGCAATAAGCGACCCAAAACGGCAGGATAAATCTCCGCTAGAAGGATATCATGTAAAAAAGTCGAGCCACATATGCGACACTTTGCTGCACATGTCCTGCCACAGGACAAAAGGCATCTTGGGCACAAAAAACCGCAAAATACTTAAATGTCTTTGATGGCTGGCTCTTGCAAACCCACAACCTCCTCCCCTAACTTGGTTACCAATTTTAGTTTTTGGCTTGGCATTTTGTGCGCTCCAAAGAATTTGAACGGTTCGAATCCGAAATATTTTCCCTGTTCAAATTTTAATCTGTACATTTTACAACTACCGTACCATTTCTCAACCTCTTTGATCTGCCAGCCGATTGATATATCAGATCATTAATTATAGTTTGTTTCGAACTTTTTCCAATCTCTCTTGCTTTTTTTTACTCGGCGCCTACTTTCTTGGCGTATTATTTGTTCAATTTCACGGTGTACATACTTAGTTATAGTTGTTATGTTCTTTGGTTTCGATTCGTTTTGGCCACTCATCTGAAAACATTTGAATTATCATTTTGTGGCACTGCCTAATGATGATTGTTTCGCATTTAATTGGTTTTTCTCTCGGTTGCTAGCATGACTGGCGTATTAAATTGTTTCAGAAGTTGTAGGAAATTTTAATGAGTGTAAATGATTGAGTAAATCATTGGATTGATGATAAATTGTTTTCCGTTTTATAATGTCAAGTTTGGAAAGTGTAAGATGCATCTTTTTTAGGAAACAATCCAAAAGATACAAATTAAAAATGTTTGTGGTTTTTTTAATATATTAAATATCAAATTTATACCATTAACGACTTAACCCTTTTTATCATGTCAATGGGATTTTCATTCAGTACCCCTTTTTTTAAATTTTTTTGGTCTTAGGACTTTGATTTGCCTTGGCAATCGTCGCAGATTTGAGGGATTAGTTTTAGCCGGTGAATTGGCCGATTATGATTTCACCCAGACGCTTTGATGCGGAAATCCAAAAAGAGACTCAAGAGTATATTTTACCCAAACTATTTATTAAATGTTTAAGGTTTTTTTAAAAACATAGCATAGCTGTTTACAAGCTAGTTTTTTAATTGCACTTGCATTTTTATTTTGTATGCGCAAATGCATTTTATTTATTCTGTGGGGGAAAAAAGATGTCATAGCCTGGGAAAAATGTAGCTAAAAAAATATGTAAATTAATATAAACCGACTGTCTCACGAAAAAAAACTTACCAATACATATTAAGAAGATTGTTGAAAAATTCATGATGAAACTCTGATATTGAGACTTCCTTTGCGAATGAATTGTGCTTTCAAAAGTTCGCATTTACTTGGAAACCGTTTCAAATTTCCAACAAGTTCAGTATAACTCGATTTCACGCTGATACAAATTCCTATCCAATTTCACAGTGTACCTGAATTGAATTGCCTAATTGCATAAGTTTGTAATTTCATGTATTTGAAGTAAGGTTTTCTTAAAAAAAAAAAGAATTATTTTTTTTCAAAACCACTAATGAATTTCCACGACCACCTTTCCTTGGGTGGGATACATAAAGCTTTAAACGAACATAATAAATGTTACTCTTCAAGAACTTAGCAAAGCCTATTAACAAGATACTACAAATATTTATAATGATATTCATCTTTTCATCTTTAAGTAAATCAAATCCCTAGCCATTCTAATGGATTCCAAAGCCCAGCCAAGAACATGGATTGTACATTTCAGTCGACCCAATCACCAAACCCACAACGAATACCATCTAATTGCCATAATCCATTTATAAGGTAGCATAGTCACACAATGCACAACACCAAGCGGGAAAGCTGAGGGGAAAAGCGAATGAAAAAAGAAAAACAAACAATATAAGCCAGACAACAGCCAAAGTAAAAGAGTCAGTTGTTGCAATATGACAAGGCTAGTAAATAAGTAAGGCGGACAGCCCCCAGAAGTTGGAATCCCCAGTTTTGCAACCCCCCGTCGCTCCAGTAAAATGATACAAAGAAATGCGAGAAGACATTTCAGTACGATTCGCCATCGTTCGGGGAAAATCCTTTTTATTAGTGCGATAAAAACGGGCAAAATAATGGAAGAAATTCTGGGGAAACGAACCAAGGAAATACACAACCTGCGAACAAAATTTGCATTGCCTACTTGGCGGCGTCTTTTATTTATGAATTTCTTTCCCGCTTTTCCGTACGGAGAAAAGCTGCGCTTATTATAATTTCCTTTTGTGCATTAGCCAGCCAGTCCACCCCGGAACCCGAACTCAAACCTTCGCAGTCTGCTACCCACTGTGCACAGTGGGCCTAATGGATGTTTGCTGTCGCCGATGCTCGTTTTTTACGATTTGTAAGTGCAATCAGTTGTACAAATGCAAATCTCCCATTGGGTTGGTTTTTTTTTTTTTTTTTTTGTGTTCTTTCCTTGACTCAAAGTCAACTAAGTCGTTTAATTTTGTATAATAAGATTTCGCGGTATTTCACCGCACGTGTTGCTTTAATAATCCGGCATCAACCACCCGAACAAATTACCCTAAAAATCACAAGAATTTTTTACGCTTTTTTTCCCATTTTTTTACTCTTATTCTGTTGGCTTTTTAGGTTGCCCCAGAGTTTCAGTTTCATTTTGGTCTTATGACTTTGATTTGTGTGTTTATCTTTTGAATTTTTATTAGCAAATAAGTTTGCTATCCGGTTTTGTTAGGGAACAAATTTAAATGAGCGGAAATGATGGAAAATAAATATCCGCTTACAATTGGAAATGAGCCGAACACGAACATCTGTTGTGGAAATTGCCATTTAATCGCAAGACTTGATTTTCGGTTAGTAGCCAGAGTACAGCTGTCAATTTGAAGCATTTAGTAAATAGAGACTAAAGTTATAGACTGATAAAGCGATGTTTGCAGTGTTGTATCTAGATTTCGAAACATGTGTGCAATCCAGAGCTTATCACGTGGTACTCCTATCTGCAACCCACATTCCCACCCACTCCTCAACGCTTGTCAATAAAATAATGCACTATATGTACGTATCTGTCTGGGCGAGAAATCTCTCGGTTAGTTCTCTGGTTAGAGGGACTTTGCTTCCGCAACAAAGTCGTCTTTAGTGGGACCTTTGAAGTTGGCCGCCCTGAGCGGGTCTTTCAATTAGCTTTACACCTTTCCCGACTTCCAAGTTAAGTCGTGAAGAGCCCGCACACAAAGCAAGTTGAGGGATGAGTTCCAAAGAAACAGAAATACGAGTTAATCACCAGGGATGAGACTTAAAGCACATAATGTAATTGGGACAGGTGAAAAATAATCGACAAAGTTTATGTTTAGGTGACATAAAACTTAAAAAAAATAACAAAATAAATAAATAAGTAAGATTTTATATTTTTTTTTACAAGTATGTTTCTTTAAGATATGAATTTAAGTCATGCTGCCACCTCCAAGATAGTTTGTTTCTACTGTGTTCATTTATCGATCGTTAAAAATGATTTAGACCTGACAATGAGAGAGACATTGTTAAGGGCGACGAGGAGCTCGTAAAATTCTGCGGTTTTTCGGTTTCTGTTTACCTCATTCCTGGCCAACAGTTTGCCGTTGAAAAATAAAATAAAGTAAGCCAAAAAATACTGAAATTAAATAATTTTTGTTATTGTCTGCCACAGAGCTACTGTTCTCTCCTTTTGCGGTTTCTGCGGCCGGCAACTTGTTGCTCGCAACATATATGGCTAAGTCGGCCGCCTAAAATTCCCAACATGTTGCCGACGGGGAAGAGACAACAAATTAATGTTGTCGAAACACGAGAAAACCTTGTAAACTGTCGGCCGCTGAGAAAGAAACCCTTTTTGATTTTTGGCAGGGCCTGAAACCCGTACAGGAATCGCTGGGAAAGAAGCTTCAGAAGGAAGCTCTGCACGCACGGCAACAAAAACCAAAACAACAACGAACTCTTGGCGGCTTTTGACTTTGGCCTTTTGCATGTGGACCTGGTTTGGTTGTTGCTGCATTTGTTGCACGCTTAAATGTCTTCTAAGTGGCGTAAATCTTAAATTGTTGCCCCAGGCCCTTTGGCTCTTTCGCTTTTTATGGTTTTAGGACTTTGATTAGCCTTGGCAATCGTCGCAGATTTGGGGGATTAGTTTTAGCCGGTGATTTGGTCGAGTTTTTGCCGCCTTTAATTGTTTTTTTTTTGCCTGTTTTTGTTTAAAATGGTATGCAAATTTTTGCAGAGAGTTAAAACAAAAACGTCTTTAATTATGGTTTCACCCAGACGCTTTTATGCCGAAATCCAATCAGAGACTCTTGAGCATATTTTACCCAAACTATTTATTAAATGTTTAAGGTTTTTTTAAAAACATAGCATAGCTGTTCACAAGCTAGTTTTTTAATTGCACTTGCATTTTTATTTTGTATGCGCAAATGCATTTTATTTATTCTATGGGGGAATATGGACTCCTTTGGGTGGGAAATTATATAAAGCTAAAAAAAATATGTAAATTAATATAAACCGACTGTCTCACGAAAAAAAAAACTTACCAATACATATTAAGAAGATTGTTGAAAAATTCATGATGAAACTCTGATATTGAGACTTCCTTTGCGAATGAATTGTGCTTTAAAAAAGTTGGGGTTTTATATTTAAATAAAACTGGAACGTTTCGCATTGGAAACTTGGAAACCGTTTCAAATTTCCAACAAGTTCATTATAACTCGATTTCACGCCGATACAAATTCCTATCCAATTTCGTCGCAGATTTGAGGGATTAGTTTTAGCCGGTGAATTGGCCGATTATGATTTCACCCAGACGCTTTGATGCGGAAATCCAAAAAGAGACTCAAGAGTATATTTTACCCAAACTATTTATTAAATGTTTAAGGTTTTTTTTAAAACATAGCATAGCTATTTACAAGGTAGTTTTTTAATTGCACTTGCATTTTTATTTTGTATGCGCAAATGCATTTTATTTATTCTATGGGGGAATATAACCCGGAGGGTGGTAATTATATAAAGCTAAAAAAATATGTAAATTAATATAAACCGACTGTCTCACGAAAAAAAAACTTACCACTACATATTAAGAAGATTGTTGAAAAATGCATGATGAAACTCTGATATTGAGACTTCCTTTGCGAATGAATTGTGTTTTCAAAAAGTTGGGGTTTTATATTTAAATAAAACTGGAACGTTTCGCATTTACTTGGAAACCGTTTCAAATTTGCAACAAGTTCAGTATAACTCGATTTCACGCCGATACAAATTCCTATCCAATTTCACAGTGCACCTGAATTGAATTGCCTAATTGCATAAGTTTGTAATTTCATGTATTTGAAGTAAGGTTTTCTTAAAAAAAAAGAATTATTTTTTTTCAAAACCACTAATGAATTTCCACGACCACCTTTCCTTGGGTGGGATACATAAAGCTTTAATCGAACATAATAAATGTTACTCTTCAAGAACTTAGCAAGGCCTATTAACAAGATACTACAAATATTTATAATGATATTCATCTTTTCATCTTTAAGTAAATCAAATCCCTAGCCATTCTAATGGATTCCAAAGCCCAGCCAAGAACATGGATTGTACATTTCAGTCGACCCAATCGCCAAACCCACAACGAATACCATCTAATTGCCATAATCCATTTATAAGGTAGCATAGTCACACAATGCACAACACCAAGCGGGAAAGCTGAGGGGAAAAGCGAATGAAAAAAGAAAAACAAACAATACAAGCTAGTTTTTTAATTGCACTTGCATTTTTATTTTGTATGCGCACATGCATTTTATTTATTTCTCGGATAGACTCCTTTGCCTGGGACATATGTAGCTAAAAAAATATGTAAATTAATATAAAGCGACTGTCTCACGAAAAAAACTTACCAATACATATTAATAAGATTGTTGAAAAATTCATGATGTAACTCTGATATCGAAATTTCCTTTGCGATTGGATTATATTTTTAAAAAGCATTGTTTTTATACTAAACATTATCAGCATTAGAGTTGGAACGTTTCGCATTAACTTGGAAACCATTTCAAATTATCAACAAGTTAATTTTAAATCGAGTTTAGGGCTGGATTATTTCGCATTAACCATTTCAAATGATCAACAAAATCACCCAACATTTGAGCCATATAGAAACACTTAAGTTTATTTTACCCAAACTATTTATCAAATGATTAACGCTTGGTAAAAAACAAAGCATTCAGGCTGTCTACAAGCCAGTTTTTTAATTGCATTGCATTGCATTTTATTATAAAATCCCTTTTATTTCAATATTTTACAGAAAATGAAAAAACTTGGGAATAGTTTATCCTTTCCACGGTCCTTTGGGTGGGACACTTAAAGCTTAAAAAAATATGTAAATTAATATAAACCAGCTGTTTAACTGAAACAAAACCTACCAAGACATATTAATAAGATGGTTGAAAAATTCATGATGAAACTCTGATATCGAGATTTCCTTCGCGAATGAATTGTATTTTCAATAAGTAAGGCTTTTATATTTAAGATTTATTATTAAGATTTATGTTTTACAATTAAAGCTGGAACGTTTCGCATTTACTTGGAAACTGTTCCAAATTATCAACAAATTCAGTATAAATCGAGTTTTACGCCGATACGAATTCTTTACGCTTAAATTGTATTTCCTAAATACATAAGTTTATAATTATAATTTAATTATAAGTATTTTAAGTAATGCATTATTGGTGAATGAATTTTCTTTTACCAAAACAGCTAAGGAATTTCGCCGAGCACTTTTCCTTGCGTGGGATACCTAGAACTTATAGCGGTTAAAATAAATTTGTACTCTTTAAGAACTTTCCAATATAAAAATAACAAGATATTACAAATATTTTTGATGGTGTTTCCGTTTAATAATATTTACAAAAAGGGCAATTTTTATGCGTCGACATTTTAAGTTCGCGTTAGAACTGAAAAATTCTCATTTACTGAGAGCCATTCCCAGCGATTCTTAATGTCAGCAGTAACTTATTTGCCACCCGTTTAAAATCTTAAAGTGCAATGTTATATTAACCCTACAAATAAAAAAGTAAATACACTCCCTCAAAAAGCAAGCTGTAAATTGCAATAAAATCTTATAAAAGACTCAAAAAACAAAGAGACTGATTTTGTGACTTTGCATCTAAGTTCTGAGTTTTCCTTTAACATAACCTTATTTATCTTAGCTTAGCATTTCAAACTTCGCAAGACTTGGACTCGTAACATATCCCCTCATAGGAAAATGATTGATTGTTGTCAATAGGAAGCTTCCAGAGAAATTAACAGTTCAAGTGTTGCATAACTGCCCCACCCTCGAATCGATCCACCGCGCAGCTGTCAAATTCGGAACATCATATAAATGACATCGAAACAGTCGGAAAAAAAAGCACAGAGCACTTTTGTCACGCAGCCAAATCGATGACGTCGCAGCAGACGGCGACGTAATCAGTTCCGCTTAGGCAAGTCACAAGTCACAAAAGTCGCAGGATAAGTCGCAACTACACGGCCTATCTGGAGGACTGATGACTCCTCTGATGATGATGACAGCCGCGTGTGATTGACAGCGATTTATGATTGTTGCCCAAGCAGTTGAAATTTCTCTAAAGTCCTTCTTGGACGAATTCTCAGTAAAGAGTTGGGGAAAGGGTGGAATATTTGCAGACCCAAGTGAATGACCTGCTTGCATTAAGTCTCTACGTGTGAATGGCAAGACAAACACAAACAAACATTCATTCATTCATTCAAATGCTGTGAAAATTGCATATTATGTGGACATGCAGTGATCCCAATAGAAAGCGTTTTCCCAAAATAAAAATAAAGTTTTTACAAACCCTAAAAATTGAAAATGTTTGTTTTTTTGTTTTTAATAGGCAAGCTTATATTTTTCTTACAGTTTACCATTAAATCTCAGTCCTATATCATATGTCGAATTGCTCTAATTTCTCCTTATTAGTACCTCACTGTACTTGCAGTCACCGCTGCTTTTTGGTTCACTCACCTCGTCTTGAGTAAACATTTTTTGCGGGCAAATTTTTCAATGCGCATTGCATTTCATCTCTAAACGAGATATGGGCACCAGGACGAGGACGCGAGTCCTTTTTAAGATGCTAGAGCAAGGAGCAAGCGAGATGGCGCTATTTGAAAAAGGGAGACGGAGCGAAGTGTCTGCTGTGTGGATGAATATTCATGCCTTGTTTATGCATATTTGCGTGTCAAGTGATGCCACCTCCTTCCCAATTCCTCGTCCTTCGTCCTGTGTGTGATTCCCATTTCTCTGCTCATTGCTCTTATTCAGCGGCTTCTTCTTCATCTTCTTGCACGTGCAACACGACGTATGCGCAATATTTCCGCTTCTGCTTTTCAGTTTACTTTTCAAGTTTGTTTACCATTGCACACGACTCGGTTCAAAAAGAGGAAAAGGCGGGGAAAGCCATGCGAGCTCTGTGTGAAAAATTCTCTGTTTATGCTCACATTTCATTCGAACGTGAGTTTGTTTGTTTGCCAATTTGAAGTGCTAAAAAGTCGGTGGCTGAAGAGGGCGAAAAGGGTTGAATGGACCGGGGGGACTTTGATTGCAATTTGTGCTGAGTGTGCGGAAAAGAAATGTCTAAAAGGAGGTTGCTCTTCTGCACTTTCAGCCTGGTAAATGGGCAATGCCTAGAGAAGCTAAAAAAAACTGTGAGAAAGAGAGGGGAAAAATCGAGAATAGGGACAAAAATAAAGTATTGATTATTAAAAATGGAAAATAATAAGTAGTGCCAGTCGATTAACATTAACAGAAAAGTAAAATATATTTGTTGTAAGAGTATAATGTTAATTAGTCTTAAGCAAGGTAACATCATAAACTCAAATTCCTTTTAGTAGTGTTCATTATTCAGCTTACTTTACGATAAACCATAAACTAACCACTCCAAGAAAAGATTTTCACATCGCGGTAATTTTCATGGCGTGTCCATGACAATTGCCAAGTAAAAATGAGGAGTAATCTTGCACCGAGGCTTTAACTGCGAATTGGCCATGGCCCAGACAGAGAGTTAGCTGATGGGGATAATGATGATGATGAATACACGAGCAGAACAAAAGCCATATTGCAATGCCCTTGAGTGATCTATGCAAAGCAAAAGGCGGATCTCAGGACCCGAGATCGGAGGATAGCTGGTGATCTGGGGATCTGGGGATCGTGGCTATGCGGTTTGGTTATGGTTGCAGCCAAATGAAAGGTAGCCGTTGCCAGTAGCTCGCTGGTAGCCGACTAGTCATCAAAACTGGGAAATTAGCATAGACAGTTTCGAAGCCAGCCATTGCCAAAGTGCGTAGAAAATCATGAAAATGGCTACTGGAGTGGCCAACAAGCAAGAGCAACAGCACGATGCAGATGGATATTCACACAGAAACAATCTTACGATAAACTTTAAAAAACTTCAATGAAAAAAATACATAAAGATTTATTTGCTTAAAAATTCAAAGTTAAACTATTATTATTTATTTTAAATTTATAAATCTTAATCAAAAGGGAATTCATATCATATAATAGTTAAATGAGTTCTTAATAAATGCAAAAATACACTGACTATATTTAAAAGCTCTATAGCAGTTTGCTTTTTAATTTGCTGGGCTTGAGAAATAAAACTTGTTATTGAACTAAGTTTTTCCAAGTGCATTTGACTCGGCCTCAAAGCCAGCGGCATTAATTTCATACAATTAATGGAAATTATATGAAATTATGAGTGGAACATTGAAATTCCTTGTGAACATCACCCGGGACAACAACAAACCCAGACGAAATTCACCGACTGCCTTCAAACGGAAAATGGCTCGCACTAGCTTGGGTGGCAATTTTCATTTAGACACAGGCCAGAGCCAAATGAAAGAAAATTAAATTTTTCACTGTCTTCTTAATTGAAACATTAGCCAAACATTTTAGCTATTCCCACTCCCCCGGTGCTCCACTCCTCTGTTCATTTACATTCAAATTAACTCGTAATGAAAACGAGTCGAGAAACTTTAACTTCGTCTGCTTGTTTTCCGTGGGGGTTGTGGCATTTAATTAGTTGTTCTGATTGTTGCTCCTCGGTCTTCCTGTTGTTGTTTCCCTTGTTTATTACTATTTGCTGGCCATATCTTCTCGGTTTAGTCAGTTAAATTATCCACGCCCAAGGATCTCTGTTTGTTTTGACACTCGTTTGATGTTCATTTGCTGCCATTTAATGGCAGCCGACAGTTACCTATTCGATTGAATGGACAATCAACGATGCAGGGTGGAAAACTGACCTTTGGAAAAGCTGTAAAACGGAAAACAATGTCGTCATTGTCGTCACTTTTAATAGTTTCGATTTTTAAGGGTGAAAACATTCGTTGGCTTAAAGGTTTGTTGTCGGCCAACCAAAGAACAATATTTATAATAGGTTACATAGCTTACTTCATTTGTTCAGGTAAATAAACATAATATTTCGAATACTAGAGTCCTGAAAAGATGAGAAAAAAATAAAATTAATTTATATTTACTTCTGTCAATAAAAGTATCTTTCTTCGAAAAGATTATTAAATTTTGATGAAATTTTGGGGTTGTCATTGATACATTTCGGAATTGCACTTGCCACAACCCGTTCCCACCCACTCCCCAAAAAAAAAGGACACACCTCACAACCCTGAGAGCTCTTTGCTTTTCCATCACCAATTTCTCCGGGCGCAATGTTGCCGTGGCAAAAAGAAAACAAGAAAACAGCAACACGTGCCCCTTTTAATTAAAATAAATAAATAGGCGCAAACACATAAATAAACAGAACACCGAGCCATAGAATAACTACAACACCAAATAGAGATGATGGAGACGTTCTCGGTTTCTCTGTCAAAAACTCTCTTCGCTGGTATTCAATTTCATGCATTTATTTCAAGGAGCGGGTTGTGCCCCAGGACACGAAGGAAAGTTTGGAAGGGGAGGGGGTGAGTTCTACCCCCTATAAAAACTCACGATTTGGGGCGCCTTGAGCTATGTTATGGCTTTTGTTGTGCTCCGTATTCTTTGTGAAACGTGCGCATTTGAATTTGAGGCGAATTATTATTTAGTCGCGGCGAGACGCAAAACGTTTCTCGGAATAAAACATTTCGAACAACTTAATTTTTGTATACCGCAATTTGCATGTGGAATAAATCAAATGTAAAACGCATAAAAGACTCAGGAACACCCCCAATAGCACAGACATGAGTTATGGGCTAAGGTGGAGCAGGAACAGTAGCCTTTGTCTGGCCAGGATTATGACCATTTATTTGCCTGTCCGTCCTGAAAAATGGTAAATACTCTTGTGGCGGGGGCGAAAGTTTCGGCTTAAGGCGATTTTCCTCGGTACAAGAAATCAAAATCAATGAAGATTTCTGCGCACAATGGAGCGGCATTAACAGAAAGAGTGGCCGGCACCCGTTTGGCTTCCACTTTCTGGCTTTTTGGGGACGAATCCTTGGCTTCCTGAACTTTGCTGCCGTCCTTTCATGGATTATGCATCGCTTAGCTTGAGCAAAACTTTTCAACCAACTCAAATTATTTATAACTAATTGAAGGGGCAGCACTGCCGGCGTCAGGGAATGACTTTTCTTTGGCTTTTAATTCGATTATTTTCGGAAAACATTTTCCAAAGAGTTCAATTTGTCAAAGTTAATTAAACTGAGTTAAGAACTTTATTGAGCATTTCCTGCTCGCAACAAATGAAAACCAATCAAATTTAATGCGAATTCATCTCGGTGGCAAAGGGAGGTAAATGGTGAACAGAAAATATATCTGGTTCGGCCAATGGGCAAGACATAATAATAACTTATGTTATGGCAGCGCCAGAAGATCTGCAAACGATATATATGCTCCATGCTCACCGGCATGGACTATATTTTGAATACTCTACCTAAAGCGAGAAGATCATTCTGTTAGCCAAAAACCTTTAAAATTTGATTAATTCTTAATAAAAATAATTTAGTCGGTCATACAATTACTAAAAATGAATTATAAATACAACAAAGATTTTTCCAATTTTCGTTTGCATTCATTCATTTACTTTAGGGTATTCATTCTTCATTTTTCTGGTCACCTAAACTCCTTTATATTTTTCATATAAATGTACAAGTTTTTGATTGATTCAATCAAAACGAAGCAAAACGCAAACGGCGATCAAGAAGTGGACTTGGAGCTAAAGCCAACGCGAAGTTGGAGGCATCAGGTTTTCTGCATGCCTGTCACGTAATTTATTGATTTAGCTCTTGGGAATACGAGAGACTGCTCGTGGATCGTGAAAAATGAAATGTTTGCCACTGCCAGCAGCAGAAGCAGCAGCTTTAAAAGAACACTGATAGAATTCATTATTTAATGTTGATTATATGTAATCTAAATATGGTTTACCTCTCGTTAATACGAATTTCTGAACAGAATCTCAAATTTTTAAGTTGCTAGAAAAACTGGACTATATTAAATTTGTTTTTTCAAATCGTTACCTACTTTTGTTAGTATTTTCTCTATGTGCACATGAGCTGTCTGGCAAACTGGCATGATGGCTGACCGAACTGGACTGGGGCTGATTGGTTGTCGATCGATTTGGCTGCCGGCCAGACAAATTCAAATGCATTGGCCCCGATCTGTGAATGCAACTGCTCCAGAAGGAGGGCCGATCGCTGAGGGGGCGGGCGGGGATCAAAGGCACTTACGCATGTACGCCTCAAACGATACACAAAACTTGATCATCGGCGGCCAGAGCGATCATCGATCAACAGACAGACAGACACATCCCATCCCATACCATACCATCCCATTGCAGGCCATCCTGGCTCCCTGAGATAATGGCCGTCTTGCCATTTTGCATTTTTGCATTTGTAATGAAACTGAAAACCAGAATGAATTGTAATTTGTCCGGAATCGAGCAGAAGCAGTCAGCCCCAGTCCCAGTATCGAGCACAAGATATAAGATCAACAGCGCGCCAGACTGAAATTGCACTTCAGGATGTTCGGAGTGGCTGGAGATGGGGATAAAGTTGAAGTTGCGGATAAGGTGGGAAGAGCTCGATAGGAATAAACTTGGGCAGGAGGAACAATGGGCTGAAAGGGTTAAAGAAACTTTAAAACACAGTTCCATCTATTCGATTCTTCTTCAAATCAAAGTACACAATTATACCGAAAAGCTTAATGCTAATTTATATAAAGAACTGAATTCTTATTTAGGATTTTTATGTTGCAACAACACAAGGTTTATTTATTTTATTTTTCTGACAAAGAATAATGTCTTGGGAATATTTTCTTCAGTACTGAAAAAAGTTTCGAATAGTACAATTTTTTAGCACCACATTCTTCCTCACCCACTGTATAATTTTTTGCTGCCATTCTCGAATCGCTTCCATTCGCTTCTTCATCTTCGGCCTGCAATTCGTATGTAAAATCGCGCATTTTCAACTGTTATCAGACCCACTCTTTTGGGCTCTTGCCGCTGCTCTTACATACAGATCATCTCGCACTCCCCAAAATCCCCCCGTACCCCTTAAAAAAAAACTACACCGAAGGCAACGCAAATGGCAATTTAAGTCATTTTGTTTGCAGTTTTTTTCTGCGTACGATGTTTTTGAGTTTTGTTCCAAGGCGAATTCAAAATGGTTTAATATTATGCACAAATCGGGCGAGTTGCGTAGTAAATTATGGGCCATTAACCGGGCAGGTAAGGCGAGAGACGAGAGGGACTGCGAGGGGCTTACCTGACCGGCCCCTGGGTAATCAAATTTGTGTAAAAATGGCAGCCGGCCTTTGGGTGTAAAATGGGGGGCGGTGACTTCGGCTAGAGGGAAAACGAAAAACGCAGCAGCACTTCCAGGGAAATGCGTGCTACCTGAAGGAAATCCCGATCGCGAGAGACACTTATATGGTAGTAGAGTAACTCATAGCCGATGATGCCTCGAGAGCAGCTGTTCGATCGTAAAAACTAATTTTAAAATCCTCTGATTTTGCCTTACAGCGATCAGTCTGCTCGGGAATATCGCCCAAGGATGTGGCCGCTTCTTCTTCTGCTGGCTTTGATTTCGCCCTCCTGGCAGGCTGAAAATGCCACCGAGATCACCAATAGTTATGTGACCAAAGTGGGGTGTGAGGCCTTGGTGAAGGAACCGAATCTCTGCGAGTGCCAGGATCAGGAGATCAAGTGCGAAAACCTTCAGTTGCACAGCGATAATGTGCAGTTGTACGGCATCAGTTGCAGCATTTTCGATGCCAGAGGATTTGGCTATATCCCCCCTCTTCAGGTGGGCAACATTGGATCCCTAATCGTCCAGAATTGCGCCATCCCAAATGCTCAGAGTATCAAGTACGTTCTCAGTAAATTGGGTGTAAATAACTACACCGAACTGGAGATCTTCAACTATTTCGATCCGAAGAAAACCGATCGTGGAGAGGTTCTGCAGCAACATTACACGGATCACGAGGGTCTGAAGAAGGTTTCCATCATTGGCTTCAAGTCAACCCTGCCGGATAATTTTCTGGAAAACCTTCCCGCACTCAAGCGACTTTCCTTGAAAGGAAGTAGTGACTTACCCGGTAACATTTTGCACCCACTGAAAAACCTAACTCATCTGGAAATTGTGGTCAAGAACTTGGCGAAGGTATCCGGTGACATATTTGCCAAGCAGTCGAAACTGATGCACTTGATGATCGATTGCGATGCCAAGAATAGCAGTGTGGAAATGTCTGCCTTTGGGCCCCAGGAACTCTGGCACATGACCGATCTTCAGTCCATCGAGCTCTTCAACTGCGGTGACAATGTGCCCACTGAATTGTTCTGGATGTCGGAGCAGTTGGCCTACATTGGAATCAGGAGTAACATTAGCTATCTCAGCAAAGATTTCCTTAAAGTGCAAAAGAAGCTGCTTACTTTGAGATTGGAGCGAAACAATATTGCCAGGCTGCCTGATCAACTCTTCCGGAATACTCCTCTGATTTTGGAGATACACTTGGCCTTCAACAATTTGGATCGCATTCAGAGGTGAGCTGAAACTTAAACTATTTGTCAACCAAATAATAAATAATGTTTTTTTTTCTTTCTCCCCCTTCAGCGGTCTTTTTGACAAATTGAAGAACCTACAGGTGCTGAATTTGGAGCACAATCCGATAACCACCATTGCCCTGAATGCCTTTACTCCCATTCCAACTGCCCATATCTACGTGGGTAAACTCTTTAGGGCGGCGAAGAATAATGCCGACTGGGCTCGTTCCACAAATGCCACAATCTGCGAGGAGGAGTACATCTACGGAGTGTGCATCTACTGCAAACGAGATGAGTATCTGGACCACTTTGCCGACTCGGAAAACTGCAACAAGCCGACTCCAAAGGCCAAGGATGTGCTCGCCAAGAAGGCCTACGAAAACCAGCTGAAGGCAATGCCCACCCACTCCTGGAAAAAGGCCAAGGAATGTAAGTAATCCGCAGATACAACTTTTATCCCATCCCAATGATTTTGCGCCAATAATTTATATTAAATTTGACATGCGACTCCCCTTCCAAGTCAGACATTGCCAAATTGAAAACGAAATAAAAAGCAGAAAGCAGAAAAAGCATGAAATACAAACAATATTAATATTTGTAGCTCGCTTTCAACGCTGGCGATGATAAGAATGAGGAAAATACGAGGTTGGTGCGAAGTCAACAAAACATTTTTATATATAAATCATGAAGAAAAACAATTTATCTTTTGATTTGTAGCCAAGGGGTGGGTTGCTACACAAAATGAAAGAAAACTTTTCCAGGGAGCAACATGTCAAATGTAATAAGGCCTAATGTTCTCTTCCTTTATTTTTCGGAGGGCTGGAATGGATTGTAAGTGAAAGTCAGATGAGGAAAATCAAGTGAATTATGCGGGTTGCGAGGGGAAAGCGAAAAGCATCTCAGATTGCTATCATTTATGATAAAAAAAGCGAGTGACTGACAGAAGCAACAGGGAAGTAAGAAAGTCATGAGGAATGTTTCAGTGTTATGCAAATCACAACTGACATTTTTTTATTGTCGATCTTACATGTAGGTTTTTATAGGGGTGAGGGGGTCCCCACCGAGCCAACAACTCATAAATGTCAAGGATATCACATGTTGAACTCTGTGGGTCGTCGGTTATGGAAGTAGATTGAACAGCAATCAAATGTAAATTTCTATAAATGGATAGAAGTGCTTTGGGGTGACGTAAAGACCTCTAAGCGAGTGATTGTAAAGATATTTATTAAGATAAAAGGAGATTAGGGATGGTGAAACATTATTACTACTTGAGTTTTTATTCAACATATAATGGTTAGGTGATCCGAAAATTAAATTTAACGCAGAAACAATTACGTGATATACAAAGTGAAAGAATTTAAAGGACATCAACCTCCTGTATTTCTCCGATAAACATTTCACCAGTTGTCACTCGTTTTAAGGTCCTAATGGGTGGCATCTTCGGTTTCGATTCTCCTACTATTTTTTTATTTTCTGAGCTCACTTTGATGGGCTTTAATGCAGGCCATAACTCACGGCCTCACTTACTCAGTCAGTCGTCGGCGGGCTTCTAATCTCAATTTGCTGTTTGAGTTGCCACTAATAAAACGCACGACAAACTGACACCACCGGATTCGAAGTGAACCACCGACCACTTTGGACGCCACCGAACACCACCGACATCGGCGATCCACATGCATTTGTGCTGCCGTTGAAACTCGGCATTGGATTTGGGTTTCTTTGGGGCTTTATTTTTTTAGGCTTTCTGTGTTTCCGATAGACATAATTTGCGGCGGGGAAGGGGACCAAATAGCAGAACGATTGACTTTCTAGAGATGGGGCTTACAAAGCATATTTAAAAAGGGATTATAATAGTATTAAATATTTAATTCGACTAATATATGCAATTAGTAACATTTATAAAATTACAATAGAAGTCTCAAAAGAAATCAAAGTAAAACCATTATTCAATCCCTTTCCCTCTCCTTACTTATTAATTTGCCTTTAAGAGCAGGCTAATTTAGAAGTACCCCCAAAAAGCCTCTAAAAACTCACTTGCCAAACCGACTAATCCAATCTTTTGGGCCACTCCGCTCTAGTGGAGCCACACGACCAGCAAACATAGCTCACAAACAGAGGCGTCACCGAGTGGAAATGGTCGGTGTTTGGGGTCCATTAAGAGCATATAACCGAATTACTTCGACTCCCAATCCCCCAGAAATGATGCCACAAGGCCACCACTGGACACAACTGACCAGCGACAACAACTGGCCGTCCAGTTGGCCCCACTTCGCGACTGGCTCTCCACAAATGCAGCTTTTGTACTACTCGTATCTGGCGGATACATTTCAAAGCAATGCCAACTGGACTGCGTTTATCGCCTGGTAGCCCCACCAGACCCAGGGAACCTGGCCAGAAACAAACAGTGGAGCAGGGGAGCAGTGGGGGGGGATAAAAAGAGTGAGGGTCGTATGCGAAATTTATGGGCATCAGCGTTCAGTTTGAAGCGGGATCCCGAAAAACCTGGACTCCGGACCCGCAGACTAGCTCCAGTGGCTGGCTTGGCATTTGTAATGCCTAAATGCTTTGGCGAATTGATTTTTGGTGTAAACGATGTGCAATTTTAATGGATTGTGCTGCCAGATAAGCCAAAGGAGGCTGAATCGTAGTCGGGCGACGGGCGACGGGATACTCCGCATATATACTCGAACAGATATAGTGTGTGGGGAAGCCAACTTGGACGATCCGTTCGGAGTCGTGGCTTGTCGTGTGTCGTTTAATTGAATTTGTTTTGATTAGTTGCTCGATGTGTGTGCGGGCATTTTGCAAATGCAGTCCAAAGTGTTCGTCCGCCGGAGTTGGCGACTCACAGAACAAGGGCATGCCGAAAAAGGAGAGAAAAAAAGCCTTGGGGCCTCAAGGCATCCAGCTAAATTGACATTGTTCATAGTCATAACATGACGGAAAAATGTCAATTTAAATATTTGCAAATATTTTAACAAGGCATGCCCCAGCAGCGCTAATTTCGCATGTGCGAAATAAAAATTGTGTACATTTTTTTGCCCCAAAAAAATAAGGCAGCCCGAAAAAGGTGCAACAACTTTTTTAATTAATTAAGGGAATGATAACGAGAGCGCCGGGGGGCCAAAGAAAATATTATGCAAAAATTGTGAGTCAAGGGAATGCGAAAAATGTTTGCCAAAGGTAAAAAAAGGGTAACACGACAGTAAAGTTATGCGCAATATAAGCTTACTTTTAGCGATGCTTACAATATATAAAGACAAAATATTAATGTCAAAAGTATATACCATAAATTGCTTTTGCATGGCATAGTACTTAATAATATTACAAATTTGGCATTATTTTTCCATCTTCTTTTTAGATTAAACTATAAAATTTTCTTAAAAACGTTAATTGACTTTCCCAAATTTCCTTTCGATTGGAATTTGCCTTTGGATTTGGAATGACCCCAAGCCAGAGTCAAATCAAATTTCGAACTCCATTCACAAGACAATTAGACAGTGAGAAACCAAACACATATAGCCCCCTGGGGGGTCAATTTGAAATCTCCATTTGAATGACAGGCGGCAGTGCAGTTAACTTGTTGATTTTGCCACAAAGGGGGTCAATTGTGGGGGTAAGGTTAACTTCCAGCCGGAAATCTCGACTGAATTTCTATTGTTTATGCGTAAAAGTCAATTTGTGAAGCGAAACTCGAGTCGTAGGCAATTTGCATTGCGATGCCTGTGTATGCATTTCAATTAGAATAAGATTGACAGCTAAGCTTGGGGATCAGAACTGAACAATTGGGGTATCCTGGTGTTCTGGCATTCGGGTATCCTGCACTTGCACTTGCAGCAAACGATAAGGCTGTGCACTTGGCTTGTGGTTTTTCGAATTTAATTGAATTTAATTGATTCGGTTTAGCAACGATGTGGGGGAGTCTGTGGGCACTCACTTTTGGGGTGGCTTTCCATCGGGAATTATGTGGGGGAGGGGAGTGTGGGGTGCTTTAAAGTTGGACTCGACTCGACTTTGGCCAGTTAAATGTTGCATGACTTCCAGAGGCTCGCAGTTGGTAGCAGTGAAAAATTGCAGCTGTCAGCGTTGGCCAGAAAAATGATTTGTTGATTTTGTTTCTGGGTTTCAGGAGCTCGTGGGGTTGCATAAATCATAAAACGCTTTACATATTCGATGGCAGCTCGTACTTGCTGCATGTATGCAATTAAACTTAATATAAATGTCTGGTAATTATTGTGTCTGGCCTGCATGAGCTGCAGCGACTTTAACTTATAATTGACTCAACAAGCTTACCAAAAACGTATCTAAATTAATAATCTTATACTTGCAGATCCCGAGAAGGAAGAGCAGCCCTAAGCTCCAAACGCTTCACTGCCATTTTACGCATCAGTACTAACTAGTGTACGGATCTATGAATCTTTTATGTATGCAACCATAATGAGATTAAAATAAACTGAAATACGAGTAAGCGAAAATTGCACAGTCTTTAATCTTCTCTATTGTTCCTACTGCACAATTTGTAAAGAAGTGGGTACAAACATTGCAAGAAAATAGTTTAAAACACTTTACATACAATTTAGATACAATAATATTTTAATAAATTGCATGCCATCTTAAATTATCTGAAATATTGATTAAGCTTGTAAAAGTAAAGAGTTCCTATTCCTTAAGATATTTAAACTTCTGTAAAGAAAAATATAGTTCCAATCTCAAATGCAATAAAATCCATATGTTTTTATGTTTCCAGTGTATCCAGTGTTATAGCTGCTCAAACTGGGGTAATATCTCCGTGCAATCATGGCTATTAGCCCTGCAGAAAACCAAACGACACACAATAGCATTCCATTTGCCATCGGACAGCGGCAGGAGTATGAAACTAATATTTGCCAAAAATGCCAAAACAAAACGACTGGCATAAAAATCACAATAAAACAAAACAGAGCAGGAACAACAGGATCCTGCCACCCGAAGGCTACCATTGTACACATGTAACTTGGCCCATGGGTGGGTGTAAAAATCAAAGGAAGGGGGGGGGGAGGGGGGAACGGGTGGCTGAGAGAGTCCTGAAAGCTTTCTCCAGAATAGGGCCTTTTGTGTGCGATGTGTTTACATGGTGATTTTTTGTTGGCACGCGATATCCTTTTTGCCGCCACCCTGGATGTTTACCCTCCGAGTGCCACCCCCTCCGGATTTCATTTCCCTTAGTGTTTGCTCCTTTCGGCCTGTCTGTCATATGTGAACTATGAAATGGCTGGCAAACATTCAACTATTGTTTGCATTAGTTGGCCCTTTTCAGCTTTTCGGTTTGGCCAAATGCCCCGCATAATTGTTGCCGCTGCATTGTCCCACAAACAATGGGAAAAGCAAAAGGAATAACAGCGCCAACAATAACAGCATTTGTCGTTAGTTATTTATTTGGATTTATGACCAAGTCGCTAAAAGACTGTAGTTAATTAGGGTTGGGAAAAGTGATAAACCAAATTATTAGGAATATAATTATATTTTACAATGGAATTCATTAAGAATCAATGTGAAGCATTCCACGCTTAATTTTTTATATTCTTTGAATTACTTTTTGGTAAAATTATTCCTTGAGTTCTGGTTGCACTGAAAGGCCGGCGGAATATTGCAACTGGAGGAGGTGTCCCCGTTCTCTGTCGATGTCATGTCTTCATTGCTGGATGCAAACAGCAACGGCAAACAACGAAACAACCAAACAACCGAACAACCAACCGGCAGGAGCAACAACAGCAGCTGTAAATTTATGCACGCACATGCAGCTGGCTGCATTTTTTGCAAGGCCCTACTGTTGCATGTTGCCGCCTTTTTGGGGCGTTTTCCCGCAATGTTCCGAATGTTGCAGGTGCAACAGCAGCACGTGCCATGTGCAACAATGATGTCAAACAAAGTATGCAGTTGCAGATCTTACGCCGAGGAGGTGGGTGTGCCCAAATAGACACATTTGTGCCTTGATTGCGTTGTCACCACATGTTGTCGGTGGGTTGAAAAACTGTCAGTGGCTGTTTTTTAGCTTAGGAATTCAAGGAATGAGTTTGGCTTGACAAGTAAAAGATTGGTCGCGAAATTCAAACGGGTTTCAGTAGTTGAAAAAGAAAACACTTGTAAGTAATTTCATTTAAAAGTAAGTGATATCAATTAATTTTGAAATGTTATACCTACACACATCTTTGTATAAAAATAAGTATAAAAGAAATACTTTTTGTAGATTTCCCTGCCTTTATTTTCAATACTTTCCAATTCCAAACAACAACTCTTGCAAATCAAATATATCCACTTTACCCCGATCGTCTAATATTGACTTTACCCCAAACCGCTGAGCCACTTAGCCGGGCTTTATCAAATAGCCCAAAGGACAATTGGCCCAGCCATCGAACAACGACAAAAACACATGAATAATGGAGGCTATTTGCCATGGCCCCGCCCACTTGGCAATCATCAACGCCTAAGCATCGAAATTAGCGCAAACAACAATTAAAAATGCTTGAATGCATTTAATTATTTTGTTGATTGTTTGTGCAAATATGCATGTTCAAATCAGAAAAACTAATCAAAAATGCAATAGAAAAATACATTTTGCGCAAATTAATTAAAATTATCGAGGCGAACGGACAAATCAACAGAAAAAAGGAGTAAAATAACAAATGACGGAGTCAAAACAACTAATTAATGAGTTGATTAATAAACAATTAGACGGCGGAGCGGGGTGGGGGAATAGTTACCAAATCGATGGCAATTTATGAGCTGGTAATTGACGCCCACACACGAAAAAACGGGCTCATAACTCAGCACTTTGGCCAAGTGGCGACTGTTGTAAATCAAGTGAGCCAGAGCCAAAGTCAGCTAACTTGTTTGCTCTTTTGGCATGCAAACTTGGCCCAGCTGGAGTTGAAAAGTCTGGAGAAACGAAAAAAAAAAATAAAGAAAAGAAGCCAGTATGCCTGCCCACTCTCAGATCCTCGGCTAGATACCCGAAAATTTTTATTTAACCTCCTCCTCCTCCTCCGCCTCCTCAAACCCTCCATCTTGCCAATGCCTAGGCACAAAAGTGGGTGGAGCACTTGGGATCCCGGTGGCAGCCACTGCACTTGGCTTCTGCAGTTGCAAATTTCTTACTTCGGCCTGCCTGTGTACCCGGCCACGCCCACTCCTTCTCCCAGTCTCCTGCTGCCCTGGGGTTCTTTTTTCGGGCTGACACACACATACACAAACACACACAAGTGCAGCCATACAGCGACTGGCGAACTGATTGTTCAGATAAGTGGGCCCACGACTTGACTATGCCTTCGGTTTGGGGTATTGTAATACCCGTATTGGTTCAAGACGAAAGCGCAAATATGTTAATTGCAGCAGCGTTAAACAGAAGCCAAAAGTGGTTGGGGGTTCTTTTTTTCCATTTTCAGGAAGGTGTATCAGATTGCCAGAGTTCAAAAATTGAAATCAATGTCCCAAAAGCGTTAATTGCTTCATAAAACTGGCAAATTAGCATACAAATAAAGGCGTTATCAAAGCTTTCTAATTATAGAAACCTAACAACTAAAGTTAATTCTGTATCTTAATTTTCTATTTAAGCTATTTCCCAATGCATTCTCATTCTAGGAATTCCAAAAACTTTCGAGGGTTTAAATTAATTTGAAAAGACAAAAAAAGCGTTAATTGAACAACATTAGGGCCAACATTTGATTGCTTAATTTACATGAAAATTAACTAAACCAGACACGCTGGGTGAGATGGCCAAATCACAGAGCAACCGAAATGTTTGAAGGAAATGCCAAACTAGAGCCAGAAATAATGGTCTCAAGGCAAAGGAGCCATCCCTTCGGTTGCGAGGACAGTGCGGAGTTCATAAAGACGCAGACCATTAAGACGTTTTAATTCTTGATTTTACACCCTCGTCGCGGGGATTTTTTTTTGGGGTCCGCGGAGTCCGAGAATTCGGTCGTGGCTCATGACCCACGAGGGCTGTCAATTTCTGGGCTTTATGCCCTCGTCTGTTGTCGTTTTATTTTTAATTTCGTCTGAGCGAGTCTTTTTTATGCCGTCGAGGCTCATTAGATTTGCAAAATGTTTCGCTCCTCTCCGCCGGCAATGGTGGTCGTTAATGTTATTAGGTTTTCGGACTCTGAACCCCGCGCGTTGGCAATATGCAATTGGATTAATAAATGCCATTAGGCAATGCAAGTGTTTTATTTTTATTCCATTTTCGGGATGGATAATTTGTATTTATGCTGTCATTTTATGCCACATTTAAGTCGAGTTATGGCCACGGACAAAAAATTATGCAAAGTGAAATATTGGGGGAAACAATTTGAAAGAAAATTGGAGAAAGGAAGGTATTCATTGAATTCTTAAAGAGTTTAGGTTTGTATTCCCGTTCCTTGTGCTTGAGTTTATTTTTATGCAATAATTTAATGCCACATTAGGACTCACTTTATGATGAGTGACAAAAAATGGAATATATAAGCAGGGGTATTTGAAAAAGGGAATGGAAATGAGACAAATGTCAACAATCGCTTGGTTATTTTGGCATTTCATGGGGTGGCTTTGTGGGTGTGACTGCGACACTTGGCAAACACATTTCCCAACAGCAATTAGACCAGCGCGTTTTTTATTTTAATATAAATGAAGTGAAATTAAAAGGCAACTGTTGACAAAGGCCAGCGAGTCACATGTGGTTACGGTTACGGTCCAGTTCGACGGTCATCATCAAAGCAGACACACGTGTCTGGGCGGTGAAAGAGGTCCTGCAGCAAATGCTTTTGACACCTCTCAAGCGAGCGGGTGTGAAAAAGCCCTGAATAAAAGGTCACCCAAGCCGGACAATTGCGGAGGTCGCTGTGGTCGGGGTCACTCGGCCCATCCAACAACCTTTGGGCTGACAGCAGCAACGCCCCGAGTTCATAACAATCAAAAATCTCTCTCCACTTGCTAATGAGGAGCTGGAGCTCATTGAACTCAAAATTTGAGGAGCTCCAGTAGCGTAACTTAGAGGCATCTCAATCATTTCTAGCCTGACACCTTCTGTCATCTCGAGAGGTCAGGTGTTTTGGTCAAGGAACTGAGGTCAAAGCTTGGAAAGTTCACAGATTCAGAGCAACTTTGCATTTCAAAATAGGTGACTGTTATGGGTTTAATTCCCATGAACTATGCTTTACGTTAAAAAAGAAGATTACCAATAAAAGTCAAGGGAGCAACACTCATTTCAAGTACCCAACTTATTTTCTTTAATAAATCCAACCTAATTACTTGTTAATCAACACATGTACTTAAACACACATCAGACAGTAACCAAATTTAGACATTTCCCCAGGGATAATGTCTTCCAAATTTCCAGTCACCAGAAATTCCGCCGTCACCCGAGTAAACTTAATTCTTTTTCGGCAAACGAAACTAAACGAATTAAAAGTGCTCGTCTGCAGCTCTCCCCACAGATATAGGTATATGTGTATATAGGCAG